AAGCCTTACTATAATTTTGGAAAGGACGGAAAAAGGCTGTTGCTAATTTGGTAAGAATCATATCTGCTTGACTTGGAACAGATATCTCAAACAAAAGAACAGACAAACCCTAGGATGTAGCAATGCGGTAACAGTGAAGCTGATACAAAGTGTTACAAAGAACATAGCGGAGGGTGATCCCAGCCCTTCGTCATTAATCTGAATCACGATACCCATGAGTACGGCTGTCATCACCAACGCATACAGAAACGAGAGGACCTGTGCCAGAAAGATCTAGAAACAATATCAACTGAGGTGAGTTGTTAGAGTTTGAAAGGTAATGCTGTTAAACCATAGACTTGATGAATAGTCCATGCGATCGCTTCCTTATACACATGTACCAGGAAGCACGAAACTGTCGTTCAACAGTTTCAGAGTATGCATTTTCCGTCTATCAAGTGACCTTTTGTTTTAAATGGCCCAGGTACTTTTGCCCATCCTATATATATATATGTATATATGCAACTATTACATGTACAATAATGCTATTGCTGATATCGAGCTTCTCATCTGGCTAGCCGGATTGGAGATATTTTCGTGACTTCTGTTAAAAGTAGTTTTCAATTAAAGAAGAAGAAGAAGAAGAAGAAGAACTATATTGTACCTGCTTCTGATCTTTACAGAAGAAACATACGACAACGAAGAGTAATACGGGAACAAGGTTGATGAGCATTGCCTTATAGATGGCAATGGAGAACACTGTTACGAAAGAGCCGACCATCATCATAAAGATGTTACCTGGGCCTGCGGGTAAAGCACCAAAAAGCATCAGTTTAACTTGACCTACGTAACGTACACGCTTATCCGTAAGCCGTAACAAGCAGCGCAGAAACAGAAATCCAAATATGAATGTACTTCATTAATAAATCGCTTGTAAATCGCGCTTTTCAAGCGTAATTTTCGTCATGCATACTCACCGATAATATTTCCTATCAGAAGCATAAATTGGTACATAATATACAGAACGGAGATGTTCGCATTAATTTTGATGGTCTGCTTCGCTGATAACAAGAGGTCGACAATGTTAGCCAGGGTAGAAGGGCCCCAGCGGCGTCGTTGCCTGAAGAAATCTGAAAATGATTCGGGCGCGTATGTGTGGGCGTCGGAAGCTGCACTGTACTCGACGCCATATCCCCGCTGCAAGAGAAGCGTACACAACCATCTGTCCTCGCCTGCTCAGCGACAGCAGGTGGCAGCCGGAGCGAACGGCAGAAATACAATCAACTTAATAACATTTCATCCTTAGAATGCTTAGTAGTGTATAATAGAAAATACCTACCGTTTAGTTTGGAAAGCGATATAGGTATCTAGCCTTATTTAGTATATGTTTTGTGTGAAAGTAACCGGGAAGATGACAACCCCTCCTGGCCTAAAAACCCTCTAGAACCTCAAGCTTTTCTAAATGCCAAACGCGATATGCTATAGGGGGCACTCTGAATAGACATACGTAGCATGACTGAACTGCATACTCGCTCTTAAGCTGACCATGCGAAGTTGAGAACTGATTTTAAAGTTTAGACAATTAGACGCACATACAGATACTCAGCCTATAATTTCACTTATTTAGTGTTCACGATGTGAGAGAAAACGCTTTGAGATATAATGCGCTCCTTATTCGGGAATCGGTCAACATCTTCGAGTACTGTCTTTAGCCGTTCATCGCACGTATATCGTGATAACAATAACGTAAATAGGACATATGGGTACAAAACGCCTAAACCGTGCTACTGGCCTTTTACTCTTGTCAAATTAGCTAAGCAATATGACAGAAACAGAGAATTTATTACTTCGACTCGCTAACAAACATTTCGCTATGTTTCTAGAGTAAAAGCTTCACCTAGATAACAACCTACAGCGCGCACAGATAGTTCAAAATGTATAATTTCGGGCCCTATTGGATGAGAGTCCTCATGATGATGGATGAGAGTTCGGCTCCCTGAACAGTACGAAATAATACTATTTACAGATTGAAAAAAATCTGAGTAGGCCAATCTTGCATCGAGCTAAGCCTGTGGTTGTTACCACCGCACTAATTAGAAATTTTAGAGAATGCCCTATAGTCAACAGAAAATCCCGCATAATTCAAGCAATAAAAACCGAATGGTTACATTTGTTTTCTGCTGACCATAGCTTTGAGTAAATGCGCGTTTAATTTACGTACCTTGATCGTATTGCACGTAATGCTGAGGTTCCGTGCACTCTGTCGTGTAGGTTTGCATTACGCCATTAGCCATTAGAGCTTCCGCACGGAACAATGAAAAGCAGCCAGGACTACAAAGGACACAGCCGAAAATATGTTCGGTAGCCTTCTGGAGCCAATGGCCTACTGCGTACTCGAATTTTTGGTACCATACAATTGGTCCTGCTCAGAATAGAATCCAATTAGTCTATTAATCAGACGCATATTGCCTTCTTGTAGGTTTTTCTCCTATGCGTGCTTTATCATATGTATGTAATTAAATCTATTAGAAATTTAGCAATGATCATTTACTAATGCAATATTGTCGTATACCTTGTCTCGCTAACGTAAGAAAAAATGAGGTTCGATCCAATTTTAATCAGCTTATCCAAAAATTCTAGCCAACCACTTTTAGTATGACATCGATTGCGGTGTAACGGTTTTCTACGAAACGTTCCTAGTTTTTGTTTGACTTACCCGATCCTACGGGATGAATCCTTCCACAGGCAGCTCCAAGTGAGGGATTATTTTTCATCAAATCAACAAGCAGTTTGACGGCGTGAGGCCGAAAGTTAATGTCTCCATCCAATGCTAGTAGAAATGTATTTCTAGATCGAAGCTTCTTTTGATAGTCATTGAGACTTAACTTGTGGAAGCAATAGCCAAGTAAATAATACATGTACATCACCTGCGCAACACGACCAAAAGCACATCGATTACTTTATAGATCGCATCTTTGTATACGAACCAGCCATAATAGCTGAGTGGTAAAAATAGAATGTATAATGTTTTATTCCCGTTTCAGGCACCCCAGATCTATATAGGTTAAAAGATTACGTTAAACTTCTGCTACGCTTAGGATAACGTAGGTGAGATAAGGAGTCATACGCGCCCGATGTATTCATCTAATTCAAATGTTGGCGCTCTAAATCAGTTGCCGATACTAACGAAACGTCGTACAAAAGATCGAAAAAAAGATGTTTACCTAAATAGGGCTCATCGAGCCGTTTGACAAAAAAGATATAGCTAAGACCCAATTTCTAAGATAGTATTGTAAACGAAAATGCAGGGTGGGCATGCTGCGCTTCTCGGAGCTAATTTGCATTGTCGTACGGGAAAGTTTAAAACTATTGGATATGTATATGCTGCCCCAATCTTCAGGTGCCGACCGAGGGCCCGTACGGAAAAAGTCGTTTGCCTGAACATGTGAGGCAATTTGGACATTTCATCATCTTTCTGTCGTCATATTAAAACACTTTCTACGGCCGAAACTGGGCTTGACTGACAACAAGCCAACATTATATCTAGTTTTAAAAAACGGCGATGTTAGCCGCTACTGCGCGTTTGAAATTCTAAAGGTACTTATTTATTGAATGCGTCATTCTGGTGGGCTTCTGATGTCAGGGTTGTCCTGCAATCGCACCCCTTCACCACTTCTGTAAGGTTTTTCAACGCGCAAAATTTTATAGGTCGTTTACAATTGAAGAACTGAGAAAGTATACGTCGAAGGAAATCCTGTGTGCTATACGCGATTTCTGCAAACAGTATTACCTGACTCCAGCGCTTTCGAGCTCTAATGAGCGTCTTATCTTTAAGGTGAACGAAAAGACGTGTCTTGCCGCTCAGCTGATACGAATTCAGAGAGGGAAGATCCCACTCTAGGCGACCCCCATATGGCGTTGACACCTTTTTAGGCAGCTTGATCTTTGTGGCCGCGCCATATACCTTGCTGTGAATGACAAGTGTACACATCATATACAATGTTACGAATCAGACCTTCAACACCGTGTAAACCGCCGAATTTTATTAGAAATATTATTATTATAAACAACTAATCAAATTAGTTAAGTGTGGAATATACAATTTTTGTTCACATATTGAAGACCTGTAGAGTCACGTCGCCGACGACGACAACAAAAACAAGACTGGCGGATCTGGGTTTACGTTGTATCATCTGAACTCTCATTACGTGAAAGGATGTCGAAGGGGATAGTCTGAGCTTGATATAAATATCTTACAATCATTCATATGCGAGCGAGCAGTAGATGGTATACTGGCAAAAAGTATGTGCGTGCCGTAAATACTTGCAACTGTAAACCTAATTTTTCTTCTAACTCCACAGAAATTTTTAATCACATCGTGTTTTTGTTTAGGTTTTAACGAGTACGATTATACACAATGCAAAGCGGTTTGAAGCACCTGACTGCAACGTCCATGGCCGTAATGAGTGTCTTCACGTATCGATTCACCCTTCTCACACCGTCGGTAGTCTCAAAGGCATCGTCGAAAAGAATTTCCGCTAACGAGACAACATAAAAGCTAAATGTTATATTGACACTAAAAAAAAAATGCGGGTATTAACTCTTACTACGACTAACGAGTTAAAAACATATTAAAAATCATATAACAATCGTTGAACAATGGACAAAATTTTCGCAGAAAAATCCCATTTGAAGTAACCTATATTTCTACGTATCGTATAGTTGTGAATCTGTACGATGAGCAAATACTTTTAATCCGTAAGAGTGAAAACGTATTTACAACTGTCATTAAACCGATTTTTTTTTTTTTTAGCATTTGTGTATTTAAAGTTAGCGGTGTTAACTTTGAAATATTTGAAAGTTTTTTTTTTTCCAGATGTATGTGGTCGTCTGATCGATCAGTACCTTCAAGCTCGTAGTAGTCGGGATCGTTCCGTTGCATACTGCACTGATCAACACTCATCCTCAGCACGCTTTTTAGTAACTGTATCATTTCCGCCTCAGTTTCATGCCACATCGTCGCACACGCTATGATACGAACCTGTACGAAGTTCGTTCATGTATATTATATTATTGCGAACCATCTTGACAATACTGGTCATTACTTTAGTGAAAAACAGGTGATCGCTAGAAAATCAAAGAATCTCTCATTAAATGATAACAAGTCAAGTCAATCTAGCCGGCTAATACAAATAGGACATGTTAAATCCAGTGGGCACGTATCCTACTGATTTTCGGTGATGACAAACCTGGTCTTCTTGATTAATTACGCACAGATCTTCATAGGTCAACAATACATATATATATATTAGTACTCAATATAAAAATATTATTCCAGTCAATATAAGCAATGGCTTTCATACGATGCGCCCCACTACGAATAGTTATAGAACACTGAATTGTACAACAAATAAAAACGCTCTTACAATTGAGTGATCCGACACATCCGGAGAATCAGCTTCGACAAACTTGGAATATGAACATATAGATCTGTGTGACGGCTCTGGATCGGTCCTCTACCATTGCAATTAAACCGAATAAATATAATGAAAGATATCAGTACCTCGCTATCTGTCTCTGGAATTTTACTTATTTAATCTTATTAATAGCCTTAGCCTCACTGTGACATCAAAATTTTTGAAAAAATCTGTCCTGAAGGACAATAGTTTCGATCTGTTCTACCTTTTTACAGCTACTTGTAGTTAATGGTTGGGTTTTTGATCGTATCTTTGCTGATTAATATCGAATAGAAGGTCATTGTGTACAGAGAAAATTCAATTGTAGTATAATCTGTCCATTTGGAAATATGTTTGCTATCCGGCATTGTCGTTAAACCTTGCTACAAACGAATGACATCTTGCAACGCTAAGTGTTTTTAACTTAAACCACTAGTATCCAAAAAGACCCTATGCTTTTTAAACATTTTATTAGACACACCAAACCACTCTCTGTAGCCGTAGGGTCGTCTCTTCGTCGAAATGCCATTATTGATTGCTCCACGCACACCGGACAATAGTATGAATTCATAAATAATCTGCGGAAATACAAGAACAGAGCCATACATTTATATATATATATATATATATATATATATATAGTTAGTGAATATTCCTCAGTTTTATAAAATGCATTGCTCATATCACAGCCTTGAAGCTTGCCGTATATATAAATGTGTGACAAACACTTTTTGTACTCGATGACGAACTTCGATTTGATATCACTGGAACAGAACTTACTTGGAGACTTTTGCCATACGATGATGCGCCGATCTCCATATATATGATGTCATTTGCGTCTGGCTGAACAGCCACAAGAGCCACATCCAGGTGTATTTGTGAAGCAGAAACTTTTCGATGCTATCGTCGGGACCTTGTGGAAGGCAGTTGTAGAAGTGCGACCCGGGCAAGCCCATCGTGAAACACGAATCTGTTTGAATATACGATAGTAGCCAGTTAAGTTAGTTAAGGTGCCCCCTTTAGACTTTAGTTTAGGTGCATAGGAGATCGTTCCTATCCTAAAGACACTGAATTTGCAAACAGCGGGTAGCAAGTATTGCACTGGTGCTTCTGCCAATCAAGTATTCGATTCGGTTTGAAATCAGCTGTTGCAAGCAGCTTGGAGGTTCGAGCCTGCAGCTATAACCATACGGATCACTTAATGTACTAACCCGAACGTGTCACCATACTTTTGCATATATTGCTGGCCGATTTTCAATCATGAGCGTCTCACAGCTGCCAGCTCTGGAGTTATCGAGAGAGAGCAGTTATTGAAGCAGACAAATACAGAGGTTTGGTCTCGTAGACACGCAGTTCCCAGGCTTCTTATCATCTTCGTGGTTTGGAAATACCTTGTTATGCATAAAAATGCTTTGTACGAATGTCCAGAACTTTAGCGAAATTGGTTTTGAACACCAGGCTCGCTATTGTCTTTGTAGGGGAATTCAACTTACCATCCGCTTGTAACGCACAGAAGAACCCAAGGACTCCAGTTGTAAAGGGCACACCCAGCAAAAGTGGGAAGGCCATCGAAAAGTGTTGAATACCAACTTGACAAGCGAAGGTCGAAGCCGAGTAGCACAAGTACGAGGACAATACGTGAATCAGACCAACTAAAAGCGGGGTCCACTTTGGGCTTCGGATCTCGCCAACAAGCTTTAGGCTTGTTTTCACACGCACCGGAGAAGTCTTCGCTTAAATAGTTGTATGGCCTATATTAGATGAGTCGCATAAGCAAATTCCCCTGAATAAGGCTCATTTATAAGCGTCGTTTCAATTAATCATTTCAATAATATAATATAATAATCAATAGTATAATAATTCATAACTTTAACAACCTAAATAAACATGCTCCAGTGCCTAAACGGGACCTCTATACGGTTTTGTAGTGCATAAATAACATTACTCGACCCCTTGTAAAACACATCTGTATTAACATTGTATGTACCAAATCAAGACTAACCTCCTTTTGACCGAGGAGTGTAACATTTGAAACGTTGAATAAAGGTGCGAAAATCGATTCTTCTTCGTTTAACAACGAGTTTATATAGATGTCTGTTTCAAAAGCTGCTACCGAAAATCCGTGATACGCATCTAAAAATAACGGCAAAGCAATCTCATTTGGACCAGTCATGGTATAAAGCCTTCTAACTACTAGCGTGAGCATACGTAAGCCAATTATCATGTCGTTTAAATGTACCTAAGAAAATTGTCCATAGTAGAACAAAAATATATGCGAAACTTGGAACGGTTTGCGCCTGTCAAAGATTTTGTTGTTTTATGGTTATGGGTAGTAACAAAATAGTGAAATGATGCTCCTAGATCGGATCATTAGGCCTGGAATCTGGTGAAGCTCTATATCGTAAACTGGGGTCGAGGAAGTGACCTTTCCACTTTCTCAAAATTCTTAAAGGTAATTCGTTGTGATGTGGGGTTGCTAAACGCTAGAACTTACTGTCAAAGCTTTCGGGTTCGACCTCTAGCCTTCAGATAGGTAAAGTTTTATCAGTAATACCATGTATCTCACTGAGCAGCTAATTGTGCTCTGTATAAATGTTATTACATTCTTATTTTTTACCCAGGTATTGTATAATTACGAAGTTCCGTTAAGCCTTTGCTAGTTTGAAGCGAATAGGCAAAAGGTATGCATAGAAACTGGCCTGGTATGCACAGACATGGGGAACTACATTGTTAGTACTAATAGTAATAGCGTTGAACGGGTTAGTGTGTATTGACAGAAAAATGCTAGTTGACGATTTCACACAACAGCAGTAAAAAAGGTAGCTTCAACCACAAGAAGGTAAGTAGAAAAAACGATAATGACTGAGACATACCAGGAAGGTTCGAGAAGAGCGCCCCGTAATCCGGTTCCGGCTGCCAATACGAAACGCGCTGCCCGGTGATAGCTACGGCGACGATGAGAAAGATGAAGCTTTTCCAAATCGCCAAAAGAATATTTGTAATCGTTTTGCTAGCCTGAGAAAAGGCCCAGAACGAATGAAAGGAAGTTTTAATATGTTCTGATACTGCGTTTTTTTGTGTGGCCTTGCATACCGACAATAACTAGCAGACGTTTCTATGCTACGTGAGGGAACGTATGAAACAGTGAGAACTTCAAATCACTTACTTATTTAGCAGATATTTCGCAGACATGGGAAACACGCCACAAACTTTTTTCTTTTAAAAATTTCTTAGCATTATTAGTTATAATTCTTATGTGAACAAATCCTTGGAACCATTTATCTAGAGTATAGCAAAAACTAAGCTCCATCGGCACTCTACCCAGGGTCGCCTTTGTTAGATTTTTGTGGGACTGGTTGTAACTCCACAGGCAGTGGAAATAATTTCAGGCTGTTAGCCTGTTTAAAGGTCCTGCCTCCGGTAGAGGCTTAAGCTATTAGAAACCCAGTTGCAGGTCTAGCGGCATTCCTGTCGGCTTTTTTCCCATTTTGCTGAATCAGCTATGATACTTTATTCAATACATCGTAGATTGGCCTAGATTTTGCGAAAATTTTTACATGACCCTACAATACTTCTTTCACAACGGCTCAGCCTTTACAAAAGAGGTGTGACTACTTGACACCACTTTTACTAATATATTTTTTTTAGGATGTCATCACTTATAATCGAGCTGATTTTAGTTAACTCCAAAAGATGCTTGACCTAATAAACGAAGCAGAGGCCTGTCCTTCGACGGACCTCTGCAGTAATGATGAAGACGCTCTTTTTAGTAAGTCGTTCTTGAAGGCCTGATCATGTGTATAATTATTTTTAAAAATTAAGTGGTGAGAAGATCTCTCAACCTCCGCATCTTTAAAGATGATCTGTCTAACTTTAACGATATATGAAAAAGATCTGAGGTTTTTATAGGCTGTAAGACATCTGCGTCTTCAAAAAAATAGTTCTAAAAATCTAACTTGAGATTTCAGCGTGATAACATATGCATTTTCGCGCCTTTTTCGAAGAATATTTCTCGGGGCTTTTAAAAACCATATGCCGACTGACAACAATCGACTTCAAGTACCTAAAAAAATGAAGCACGTAAAATATTTTCGGCATAAAACCTTTTGTATAATAGCTCATTTTCTAGGACAGTGACAATGAGTAGCAACCTGACGAGTCTATGAGTTTGTTTTAAAAAGAGCCAACTTTCTTCTAAAAATAGCGGATGAATGCGTTCTTGCTTCGACACACATTACCAAACCGTGTTTTACATTTCATGTTGGTTAGCACCATCAGGCTCTAGATCATACTAGTTCCACCAGCGTTCCTCAAATACCATAAAAATATACCTGTGAAACTACAGCGTACACATACTTGTAGGTGTTCTTTGAACTCCAGTAAACGTGCGGTAGCTCCTATAAAGTTCTCCCACCATCCGCAGGATATTAGTATAAGAGAAAATGGCAGACCCCACAGGCGCTGTGGGTCTAATAGAGCCCACGCCAACAGGCCGGACAACTGCAAGAATATGCGTAAAATGAAAATAGACCTCGATTAGGCGTGAGGTAATCTTGTTATCATTTTTCTTACCATTTTTTTTTTTTTTTTACAAATTACTAATATGTATGTCATGCAAAATATACATTATGTTTAGTAAGCATATATTATTTATTTATCTACTTGGCAATCACTAACCTGAAATATCACTACGACAACTCGAACCACAATTTCCCAGACGGATTCTAACGTAAAAATCTTCTGAAAGCACTTGCTATGACAGAGCCGTATCATGGCTGGTACGAAGAACACACAGTTAGCCAGCATGGCTCCATGCACAACATTTAATTTCGGCAGAATCCCAAACGTTAGCCAGGCGCATCCGAATGCATGTAGACCCTCCATAAAGAGCGTCTGTGGCAGGTAAGGTTAAAGGTTGTCACATTTTTATTATCTCAGTCACTGGCAGTATCCGCGTTTTCGAACCGGAAAAAACTGTGCCGTAATAATATCAGAAAAATTTGGACAACTGATGTTTGTCGCAGTTGAATAAAAGCCTATCTCCAAAAGGCAAACACAAGTTTCGCAAACGTTCCGTCGTCATATCCAGCGCACACTCGAACACGATTTACGTTCATTTTTATTTTTTTCATTTTTCGCATGCATAAACTAATACGCGTACATCGCATTCTAAGTTACGCACGGATTGTCTTTAAAATATACCGTACACGACCCATTTTTTTGGCTTGCTCTGTTTTCAAGTAGTGGTAAGTCGTCAATGGCCTTTTGCTGTAACCAGAACAAGTAATTTCCTAAAAAACCTAGGTCAATGATATAACTTAAAATGAGATAGGCGTGTACCAAGGTAAAACTTTTTTACGCTAAAATTTAAATTAACCGAAACTGCGTTGGAAACTAGTCGCCATGGTATCTACCTACCAAACCGAGGGTTGTTGCAGAAGGCCAGATAATTGGTTTGAACAAGCATAGCTTCACCGAAACGAGTAGTTTCAAACATTCGGGAGTAATTAGACACAACAGTAGCACCCATGTCCATACAACTGCTTGAAATTTGTTGGTGCTGACCGAGAAGGAGTTATCCTTACTAGAAGGACTAAGCCCTAGTAAAGAAAATATACCGTTAAAATATATTTCAATTTAGGCGGGCAAATAGAAATATGGCTGATTCGATATCTTTGTTCACGAAATCCTTTATTGTGAAATTTTTCATTTAAAAATAGAATTTAACTTTTCAATGCGTAACTTAAGCTCACACATTGACACGCTCCTACCTAACACAGATTCGCTGCATACGACTCTCATGGGAAGTGAGCGGTTGAAACTTTGATTCGTTCGGTTGTAGTATACTACGTTCATCATATTCTCTCCATGAGGGATGTCAAGTTGCGAGACCATTAGCAAAAGAGACATTCGAGAGGTTATTGCCGAGCCAAGTATAATGACAAATGTGACAACAAAGCTAAGGGCTTTTATGACCCGTGTTGTAGCCTCAGCACAAGACGAATCTTCAGCTTCGTCAATTTCTACATGCGGTGCAGGCTTGAACGCGTCTACCACGTTTAGGGGTTTGTACCTGAAAAAAAAATAGGGCATTTTTAATTGCAGGATAAAAACGAACATTTTCTGTTTTAGACCTTTAGCCTTAGTCATTACTAGAGAACCAGGTTGTCAGGCTTTTTGTAAGATAACAAAATCGTATAATGACAGTTATTTTATTATCGTATATCCCTGATGTCGCTATTTTATCACATTTTCAAATATCTTTCAGCACATATCCGTATCTTTCCCTTTCGTTCCGTGCTGTTATTATTTTTTATTTGTACTTATTTTTTCATTGTACGGCTTATATCGTTACGTAAGAATAATTATGGTTCCTAACTTTATATGACAAATGTTTCACACTTTCCCGTTAAACTCTTTATATTTGTCCCCAAGGGGCAGTCATAAAGCGATTTGAGTCATCCTGCTTCTTTTAACAAACGAACGTTCGTTTTAAAAACGAACACCATCAAAGTTCAGGCATCTTTTTAGTCGCGCATGGATTAGAAATTCGACGGAATATCTAAAATAATAATAATAGATATGTAAAATAATTTTCGACAACAATTCCAAGCGCGTGTAGTGTCGGTCATCAGTAAATTCTATGGATTGGATGCTACTTCTAGGTACGCAAATATCATCCATCTAATACTTCCGCGAAGGTATCCGATACTTCTCGGATTGATTTGACAGTAGAGTAAAAGAAGATCGTAACGACTGAATTTTTATACCGCATCAACAAGATTACACTAGTCTTCAACTAATCTAGAGTATAACATATTTCTGAATGTATCAAACTTCAAAGTGCAAACAAGGATCCTTTTGCATAGCACGATTAGCTCTTCTTGCGGCAACCCGTAAACATGTCTTTTACATGAGCAACGGGTTCTCGCACAAGCAGCAGTCAAAGCTTTCTTGGGAAGCCATTCGAAAAGATCGTAAAGAGATCGAAAGTTGCCTTCAACTATAGTCATCATTGACCTTTGTTGCTACAGATATAATTTTTTTTTTATGGACAATTTGGATTTGGCGAAAAGGGTATTAGCATTGCTACATTTCCCTGCAGCGCAACTCGCGGATAAGTCAATATTTAGACTCTTCTAAACAACAAAAAAACTTTGAGACGGTATGCGGTCCAGGATCACACTCCGTGATAAAGCAGCACTGGCAAAAGATTCCAGCGAAACATAATTTCGTATTTAATTAACAAAAGTTTCGTTTGTGGGCTTTTCGAAGACACCTATTGCAGTGCGTAATTTTTGCCCTATAAAGCCCTACTATTCGCTGCATATTTTTTTATCAAGTTCATGATAAACAAAAGCGGGTAGCCGAAATCGACTTACACTATCGTGCTATGGAGTAACTAATTTTTCTCATGTAGATAGGTAAGGCTTGCTGGTTTATAGCCCATAAGTGTTTGCTGGTAAGTACTCAGCTTGCCAGATACGGCGCATTGCACGCCGCACATTGTCCGCCCTCTAGACTATTCATAATGTTAGAAATTCAATTTGTGTATTTGCTTATCTCTGAAACTTGTGAAACAGCAGAACAAAGCATTATTTGATAAGATGAATTTACAACTCTGCGATTTTCTAAACGTATGCTTTACTGACGTAAAGCATGCGCACGTAATCCTTGTTTTACTGCCGCAGTATGAGTACGTCACGCTTCACATCTCTCTAGAGTGGGAAATAATTTCGCAAGCTAAGTGACACAATACGTTTTAGAAGTGAAATTAAAAAATCGCGATAATTCTTACAAAAACATGGCTGAAGAGAGGAAAAAAAACGCGTATAAATATACCGAGCCAGTTAACCGCGTCAATCAGTGCGCGACTTGACCTTGTCCACGAACTGCTATTATTTTTTCACCAAACATTACCGTTTGCGTAATGCATGTTAGAACTTTCGACATGCTGATGCACTTAGCGGCGGTCTACAGTAACTAATTTTTGTGAAAGCCTTAATTAATAAGCCTTGGGTGGTGCCCAAATACTTGAATGTAAATTTGGTTGCCAACCTTTTCAAGGGCATAACCCTGATCCAAATTTATCGGCCACATCAGTGTCAATGATGTGATCGTTGCAACCCGTTTACACATGTCCGGCGAAAAGATTCTCCGCTAGGAGGACGCAGATCGCTGCGGCGCATGAAAAAGGATTTGTTGTCTCCAAGTTCGTACATAATCTTGCGCGTTTCTCGAATGACAGATGTTATCAATACAACATTCAGAACGCTATAAGCACCAACGCGATATTCTGCTTCATATAAAGCATTTGCAACAGTTAAGTCGATGAATAGCTATGCTTTTTTTGGTGATGATTATATTTTTAACAAAGTGAACTGGTGGGTGAGCTTTTAGATCAACGTAAAGGCTAACTTACCTCGAATTAGTCTTGCGTGCTACAGTCTCCATGGTGGTTTGCCAGCGATTAAGACACTGAAGCAAGCTTGTACGACGATTTAAGGAAAGGCCCAGCTTTGAAAGGGAAAAGATTAAGACTTTAAATGTCAGTCAATTGGCAGATTTGGAAGTTAGGCGTGCTACGTGTACATGCTCTTACATCGGATTTCGTAATATACAAAGCGTCGAAACAGGCTGCGTCATAATTGCAATTGACCACAGGACATTCGTCTACGAAGATCCTTCCTATGTACCATGAGTAAATGGGATTTCGGAGAAGTGTAAGATGCTCGTATGACAAAATCTCATTAGCTATTGAATGAGGCGCATGAAAAACAAAGTTACGTCCTTATTTGTTACTGTTAAAATCATCACCCAAGAATACATAATTTATCCGGTTTATAATTTCTATAGCGCAGAACCGTCCAGCGTTGTTCTCGTGCTTTTAATGAGCATATGCACGTACTGAACTTTGACACCTGGCTAAATAGCTCTGATCTAGTTTATTTACATACAAGTGGCTAATCAGATTCTGCAGCCCTCGTCAACAACAACAAGATTGTTGTCGGATCCTAATAACATAAGGTAACAGTCGACTCGACAAACACCTCTTATATATACGTATACCTGTTCAAAAAGTTGATTAATCAAGTTGATAATCAATACCTTTTAACGATCTAACTTGTGTTCAACTAGATTGAAAATGTATTATATAGTTCAAATAGTATGGTAACCTAGTAGTCCAATAAGGACTCGCAGTTGAAAGAAAATCCCATAACACGCTTTGCACAATATGTCTCAATAGTGGCATGCGTGTAGCGGTGAATTTTCGAGATGGGAGAAGTAATATTATGTAAGGTTTTTTTAACTTATGGTAGCTTGTCTGAATGTATGACGATATTGACGATTTCAAGTAGATTAAAACTCCACAGATGCGCAACCATCAATTTCGGATGAGAGAGCTTTAAGGTAATCTCGGTAGCACTTCATCGTAACTTCAAAAATAGTACTGTCCATTTTTGGAGATATATATACTTCAGAATCAAATTATTGTACGTTGGGTATGCTTTGTGTGTATTACTTACTGCAGGTTGTTTCAGCATAAGTTATTCTTTCGATTTTTTTTTGCGTTTTGTTTCTCTTTTTCGATGCTTCAATTGCTGATCATCAATGCCATTTACTCAAGAAAAGCTCCTGTGATCGTTTCGTTTACATGAGAAAATCTTACCTTATCCAAAAAATATCTATTTATTCTGCGTGTGACGATAACTCTATGTCTAAGAGGCATAGGACATCGAACCATTACTTTTTTATGAAGTTACTCGAAGCAATCCTCGTCGAAGTTGATAAGCAAAAGGCAATGTAAAGCTGAAGATGCCATCTTTGAAGTTAGCAAACTACGTTTGAGCAATAATCTCAGCCACTATTTTCGCCGCACACTACTTCTGTTCTCTCAACTGATGAAAAATAATAGGTCGAAAATTCTGCTTTTCCTTTTTTTTTTACATAATATACTCATCTTTTCCGTCTAAAATCAAAGTAAACTTGGCTAATCTAGACATACTGAAGGCCAATTTCCAACACTTAACTACACAGAAACAAACAAGCAGAGGACGAGAAATAATAAACAAAGACTGATTTATGAAACAGGAACAAACGGGTGACTAAATGGTTTCATTGCTTAGATTTTACAAGCCATAAACTTATTTATGCACTGTTTTTCGCGGATACAATATTCTTGCTCACTTCACATGTACGAAAAGCTCTTCATGGAACTGTTGAGATGTAAATAATAGGAACCAATTCAATAGAACTAATTATTTTCTAAGATACCTCTTATATTATTAAAAATCTTGATATCGTAAAATGTCTAGCAGTAAAACACAAGAAACAAATCTTCACGTAGACTAATGCGGTTCAGTGTTATACGTCAAATGTTAAAGTTTTAAATTGCCCTAAATAGTTTATTGATACTGATTACCTATGACCCTAATTCGAGCGCTTTTGTGAAATCTATATTTTAATAAAAACATGCTGTTTGTTTTTAGCTCTCATACTGATAGCGCTAAGACCTATTGTTACATAGAGAGGGTTTACTCTCAGCCTAGCAATAATGCGGAACGTGTGTTAACATTCGTTGAAAATTGACTAAGTTTGAAAACTTTAAGTAATTCATGTATGAATCTCAAGTATCATCACATACGTACGATAATCTAAACAAACGTACGAAAATACAACAAGCTTTGTTTACAGTTATCTATAAAATAACTTTATTTCGTCTTTGTTTGTTCCCCACTATAACTCAGGATTATACTTATATTGTTAGCGTAAGTCACAGTAATAGGTGTGGGTACACATGATTACTTTGTTACATGTCCGGCCATAGATAATGCACGCAAATTCCGAAAAAATCTAAAATTGCTCAAGAGAGTTAACGAACTTTTCGATATATATATATATATATATATATATAATGTATGTATTTACAAATATTCTCGTTCACTTCGAGAAATCCCCCTCAAACTATCGAGCCATAAGCGACTCATCTACACCGACGTTCGCTTGATCTTGTAAATCACTGTTATTCTTATTAGTAATATAGTTTATATAATAACATACTTGCGGTCTGTTTTCACCGGTACACAATATGATATTCTATTGTAAACCCTTGTATCATTAGTATGCTCGTATAATATAAGGTCTAATACGTTTACTACCTCAGAATTTGTCGCCCAGATAAATAAAATGATTGTGCGCCAAAATTTCATCGTTCACAGTGTCATATAATGTAATGACCTTAATTATGGTATAATTATTTCGGCACATGTCTCAATCGTACCTACGTAAGTACATATAAATATGAAATTAGTATTATCCATTGGTTCGAGCAGATATGTTGGCAAGCTCATCAATACCGTGTGTATTTTTTTGTAATGCCGCAAATGTACAGTTCGCCATGAACTCGAATTTCGTTATAAGGAAAATCTAGCATTTTGGATAACACATCTGTCCCGAATACTTTAACAGGACACTGATGTTGGCTAGTCGTATTCGAATTTCCTAAATGAAACATGGAAAAGCAGTATGATCCCGCTATCCAGAGTCCTATAGCCAGATATCGTGCCTTGCTCAGTAATTTTACCTGTAACATAAGGCATTTCACGGTAGGGCGACAAACAACTCATGTCTAGGCTGATGATGACTATTAACTGCAGAATAAATGCACTCCTAGACAACAGCTCATATCGAACCAACACATTTACTGGCCCGATCAATTATCTGGCGGCATTAATAGTTAATTAATAATTAATAGCTAGACCCCGGGGGAATTTTATTAGGAATGAAAGGAGACTGCAGTCTATAATCTTTACTATTATTTCAAGCGAACAAAAATCGACAACCGCAGTAATAGAAAAAAATAATTCCTTAACACGTAAAGTTTTTCATTTTCATACGCAACGGGTTGTTGCCCATTTATATGGCTTATCGTTTAGTTTTGGCTCAGACGTGCATTGAGAGACAGGCTTTTCCTACTTACATAGGCCACCTTATTCGAATAAGAATGGCCATCTTGACGTGACGCTACCGCCTCACACTTAGCTAAAGGCATATTGAACAAAGCGCGGTATTAATTGGCCCCGATTTGTTTCGAATGGGTTGTCTGTTTAGGTTCGAGGAGCGTCGCGCACTACGCCTCAAATCGATCAGTAAGTGATCAAGGGTTAGCACTGCTAACTGGCTGCAATGTCCGCAAGTTTACCAACCGATATTGTGCGCGCTTTGTATGTCTCTTCAGAAATCGGAAACAAAAGCAGACAAATTGTACTGATTCGTTTACGCTGTTATACTTCAATATCACTTATTTTTCAATGTAACGGTTATTCCCACGTTGCTGTGGCTAATTGCATACGAAGGTCAAAATTCTATGCCGCCAAAGCTGATGCTATCTATCCACCCATCCCGTCTGATGAAGGCCGTCACAGACATAGGTACCTGATCACTAGATCACAATCGGAATGAAAGTGTCACATTTTCAGGTATCTGACAACAGCTATAGTGCCGAATTGAAACCATGTGACCATGTGCTGCGTTTATATTGACTCCAAGGTGTGGCAATTTGCGGGTATCAACGCGGATATCAGTTCACATAAGCCTTAATCACCCAAATCCTGCTATACGGTAGTAGCCGAAGCTTACACGAGATGGCCGTACTGAAGCGGAAAGTAGTTCACGGCTGAGTTACACAATCGGCGTTACCGTCAGTGGAGTAACCCCCTTGACGCCTAACCCTAACAGTATCAGGTTGCTTTTGCGCTAAATACGTAGATACGAGATAGACGTGTAACATCATAGGAACGCATTGAATCGCGTTCCATGGCCACTGTTGCAGGTATAAGGAAGGATGCTCACGAAGGGTTCAAAAGCGTTCAAACCTCTGATGGCTCATGAGTCGATGAAGTTATTTATTGACAGTACAATACCGTTATGCACACTTGTCCGCCAATAACAAGACTTATACGTTGAAGCATAGTGCGCAGGGGGTTACGACAAGTGACGGATGACAATTCGAACAGCTTTTTTTTTTTTTAAAAGTCATACTGTTATTTATCTTAGGTCGGCCCGTGATACCAATGATGTATCTTTTCCCGTTGCCATGCACAGCTTTCAGTTGCTGGTAAGTAGTGCCACAATGTAAAGCACTTGAATGGGTGCAGCCAGGTCAAACAGCACAGCTGGCGGAATTTTGAAGCATTGTTCAAAGATGTAGAATCTCCAGGAATACTTCTTGATCCTAGCTAGCACTTACATGTTGAATCTACCATGGAAGAGTTATTGAAAAACTACAATGTACAATATCAAAAACAAATGGATTTAGCAAACACCTGACAACAAAGACCACGTCACGATAACGAAGTATTGTGTTCTAAGGGTTCGTCTCTAGAGTTACACATTATAACGTTATTATTATTCGCTTGTTTCATATTTTATCGTCCTGAATTCGAGCCCTTGAACGTCTAACTTAATTCCATATTATTATTGTTACGTTTCTCAAGGCCATCTATGTACATATAAACATACTTTGTGGTAAGGTAGGCCACAGTCGTACTTTCTTTTGCAGCGCTTTGCCAAATCTAGCTTATTAGTATTTATCAGCTACATTAACTATGAGTCGTATTCGTACTCATAATGTCCTGGCGTCTTCCATTACCAACATCTAAAATGTCATACCGGCTATTGGATTATCGCCTACATACGCCACTTTTTTTTTAGCTTCAGTGTCACTCATTATATAAGTATTGGGAGTAGAAAATTCCTCTCTTTATATACAAATATCCCTCTTCATGTACTTGATTATCTAGAGAAGCGCTTAATGGTCCAAAAAATTTCCTCGTCATGTTGGGCCAACTAGAGCAAGCAAACGCTTCGTTCAGAACAGTTTAACAGCTATGACATATCCCGGACAGACAAGAAATAGGCATATATATATATATATCATACGCAGTATCTCCAACTATGTAGATGATTTCAACAGTCGTCATTCTAAGCGATTGTCGTGATCTGAGGCCCATGATGACCTTGGGATTGGGTCCTTGGCGGCGATGGCTGCATCTGGAAGCTCTTGTTATCGGCTTCAATCTCCTTACGTAGATGTTTACCATCGACGAATAGAAGTACACCGGCAAAGTACTCGACCAGTGTACCAATGACACCGAGTACGAACGACCATGACAGGTAATTGTGGTCTGGATCGGGCATCCAATCGCGACCATCACCCAGAGCGCCAAACACAATAACAGCAACTGAGTCGAACACCGCCGAAACGAGAAGAAGGGCAGCTGTCAGCTGCGTTAAACGCAACTCGAGTTCGGCTGGCGCGCACAAATGTACGGCCATCAACACCAGCGACGCTAGAAGGAGCAAAGTGAAGCCAATGGTGAACAAGGTTTGTGTTGCAATGAAGAAAGGTGGCTCAAGAAGGTGACGAATAATACGATACTCGCGGTGAAAAATCCATCGGCATCCGCTGAACTCGTAGTCGTAACTGAAATTCAGACGAAAAATAGAAAAAATCAAGTTAGCAATAATAACCCACTATGATATTGGTATATATATTTTATGCTTCGCTTACGCCAGTGGAAAAAATGATACGTTTTCAGCTAAGTTTAGTACTCCCTCTTGATGGCAGAACTTTGTCCTCTGAGGTGATTAACTGCGTTTAAGATTCGCTTAAGATAGTCATGGCAATGTTGTCGAGGGCATCATCAACGTTAGAGTGTCCACAGTTCAACAACTTGATTCTATCTTGACACTATTACAATAATTTGTAAAAAAAAAAACATGGTATTTTTCTATTATTTACATAGACTTCAATCGTTTTGAATGACGCGTGTTGACATTAATTGCGGAAAGGCTTCTCTTCCTCCTTGTGGAGACCATCATATTTCGTTTCCTCAACGATCACAGTATAATTTTCAGTTTGAATAGCATTTGACGAGCATCGCTCTGTGCAAAAATGGCTATGTAGTTGGTGCGTATTGACGGTGTTAAGAAGACGCCTACGTTAGCGTGCTATAACTGAAATAGTAGACAGAAAAGCGTTCCCGAGCATTCTACCTTTAGACGTATTCCGTGTTCGTAAATCGACTGAGAAGGTTAGGGACAGACCAATACGTCAAAGAAGATTATCAGATATTGTGATGTTTTTTGGTAGACTAGAACGTGAAAAAATAGCATAAACCTAAACCTTTCTCCCTCCGTAGCCTACCATACGTTCGTTGTAAGGGGTGAATTCTCTGAGCGCCGAGACGTTCACGATTAACAATAATCCTTGTGACACGGTAGGAAGCTATTTCAACAGGGGATCGTGCGTTGATTAAAAGAAACTAGACGGTGAACTAAAATTAGAAATTAAAATGATTTGAAAAACTTACAAATGCTCGAATGTTCCATCCATATCGCAGTCGCCTTAGTAGACTACAGCGCATATATAATTTTTCGAAACGAATCTCGCAGTCAGTCTTCGTTCAAGATTGCTCGCATCGCACAAAACAACTCAGTGTGGACACTTTATGGACAACTGATGATACCTGCGCCTTATACTTAGAAGTACGCGTTTGTTTACAAAATCAACCCTGTTGTTTCGAAGCGCCACCACAACTCAACGCCATCACTGCACGATGTACTTATATATTACGCAAATAAAAGCAGTGCGAATTCATGGCCATAGCACATTGTATCGATCCAAAGATTGCTTGTGGTTGTGCGATTTGTTTATTATGGGAACGGCGCAATGTGATAACAACACGATTCAATAGCGTCAAATCTGCGGTCCAGCACGATGTCAACTAACGTGTAAAAAAAGGGTTGTGACGCTAAAATGCGACGGACGGAAGAATAGATCGCTCGGCCGCTTTTTTTGGAGGCATCTCTCATTCGGAGTGGAAAACATTGACTACCGTCTCACGGCAAAAACTGTTACGGTATGCTTGACAATCAGAACAAAGGCGCACCTCAATCCCAATGGACGGACCAGCTGACGAAACTGCGAATATGCGCGTACTGATTTCCTCCTGTTGTTGGAACGAATCCCACAAAAAGTTGACATTGCTTTTCTGTTGCATTTTCCTGCTAACTTCTTTATATACATGCAAGATAAGTGATGGATAAAATATGACTTTTTTTTTATAATGGCGCATTTTTACATATTTGTCGAAAAGCAACAAGCTCAACTCAGCTGCATACACTGTTTAAATTTGGCAGCCACTGATTTGATGCTTAAGCCTGAATCATATGGGTGTCTTACCAGAGGGAGGAAACGATGCAGAAGTGCAGAATTTAAACACCGTCTAATGTAATCATTTTGATGTTGCTGCTTATAGAGCCTTACAGAACTGAAGCCTAAATTGTCCCTAAAATGCTAGCCGCATTGACGATATTATTCGAATACTCCTGCTTAACGAACAGACACATATACATTCAGCAGACTTGGAAAGGGAAGCGTACAATTACTATATCTGGTCTGATGGGTGCTTATCCAAACAGGTCAATCAAGTTACTTGTCTTATGAAGTCAATATATGTAAGAGATGCCGGAATCATCTGAGCTCCAAAGCAGCCGATACATATTCGTTTATCAATACCTGTACAAGCATACGCAAGAAACTCACAGTGTACAACCAAGTCGCGGTGCCTATGTTCGTCGCAGTCTCATAGTGTTTTTTAAAAGGGTAATCAGATTAAGAACATACTGCTCTAAGACACGTTGTTAGTGATTAGCAAGACTAGAATTCATTGGCTAAACTTCATGCTTTTCATCATTCAAATAAGCGACCTACAAAGTATAGAAAGGCAAAATTGTCTAGCGAGCTAAGCACATATGCCCGAAACGGGCGTTAATTCCGTTACAATTAAGACCACCTTCAGACGTACCTCTTAAATGGACAAATGAAATCGTAAAGAAAGGAACAAATGTCCACCCACAAAAAAGTTTTTAGTTTAACTCATTCGAGTGCGCGCGAGCCATTATAATTAGAGGTTATTCACTAATGGCTAAACGTAATCTCTACAAATGCTAGGCACCGAGCGGTGTTTGACTTCATAAACAATGTTGGCAAGAACTAAATACATTAAAATGCCTTTTGAGGACCGTGAGAAAAGATCACAGGTAACTGTGCCCCGCCATCATAAATAGAGCTCTTCCTTAATACAGCCCAGTTTCTTTACGTCATATTTTTTTTCTATTCGTTATTTCCACTGAACATAAATCTGCGACAAAAAAACCGTTAGCACACAAACTATAATTTTATCAAGTTAAAGATAAGTTTTATCGACACCAAGTCTTTATACAATATAGTTCTTGCTTGAACTCCAAGACTTTTAACAGCTGATGTAATCATTCGAAGAGCTTGCGCAGCAGCGCGCGTAGAATCTGCTACATTGGATATAAAGGGGAAACTTGCAACCGAGCAGCCATTATTGTCTACGACATCGAACGCAACAAACGTTGCCTCATTGCCCATCTGTATGTTGCGTATATCTGCAGCAGTTGTACAGCCACAAATTTACTCTCTTTGATCCTCGTCGTAACCACCGGCGAACGCCGAGATTAGGGTATGGAGTAAAGCAAAAAAACGATTTTATGATCAAGCTCAGTCCAGGAAAAAAGTCTTCGATAGAAGTAGCGCGCGTATATTTATGATGGGGATTTATTTTGCGAGAGATCCTTTCAAAACCTAGAATTTAGTTTGGGACATAAGTCTACAAGGAAGGGAGCGATGAATAAATTCTAGGTCCCTACAAGAGTGATCGAGATTGCGGTCATGGATACCTTAAACGTTGATAGCTAATAATATAGTTTGGTGGCAGATAAGTTAGTGAATTGAGCACAAATTTAGATAAAAATAGATTAAAAACAAAAGCGTTAAATAGAAATAGTTAAGAAAATCCCGTCAGAACGACTGATGTAAATATAGATAAATTGTCAACAACCAAAAAATACAGAATTATCTAAGTAAGTTTGATTTGCCTCAGAACTTAACCTGCAACCTATTTCCTCAATTGCATTACTGAGACAAACTTGTCAAGTCCATTGTGTCTTTATTTGGCGCGTGATTCCACTCCAAGCGTAATTTTATAAAGAAGAATATATATGCAAAACTTAGGTGCAAGTATCTAATCATTGTGTTAGTATAGAAAATCCCATTGTAAGGCTCGTGAAAATATAGGAACCAAATTGTATGATCAGTTTCAGCTCATAAACTAAAGTGCTTTCGCAGATTCGGAACCGTTCAGAAACGGTTAATTGTGTTTATATATAAGATCCGTACAGTTACACCGACAACGAACTTATAATTTACGTTTTCACATGGACCGGTTCGAGCCTTGTCGAACCTAGAAAATATTAAAGCTCTATCGAGAGATCGTTATATATATAACAAGGCTCGATACCGATATCGATAATATCCTAAAAGTCTACAAACACGCAATAGCTGTCTGCATGTATAAAATTCAATCGGCATGTCTGTGATTTACTTACGCAGATCTCTATTTCTATCGAGATCGAGGGAGGCTGATGTAATATAAGCAATAGGTCAATTTAGTTTTATTCTTTTGGTACATAAGAGAACAATCCACTAATAATGAACAAGTATTTTCAATAGTCGAGTCAACATAGTTTTGTGCTCTTTACGGTTGATTTCATTTTTTCTGTTTAACACCCAGAAGAATATTACATTCAGTCTTCCTTAACGACCAAGTGAACCTTCCTAGCCTTGGCTGAAAACCACTTTGTTGCCAAAAATCCATTAGCATTACTTGTTTCATCTTATCTATTTCAGTATATTATTAGTAGAGGTACAATTAACTAAAGCGTTTTTTGACTAGCTAGCGTATTAACATTATAACTTTATCATTGAACATGCAATTTCGGTTCATCTGAAATTTTGTCGAGATTCGATATATATATATATATATATATATATATATATAGCATTATGTATACGGAGAAAGTGAAGTTTGAGAGAGGAGATTAATGAAAAAAGTTAGATTAGGGCAGGCTTTATTGGTAACCTTTGTTTCACTTACTGCACATGTTGCTAATTGCGAGTGAGACAAGGACAGATGTTCATGCGCTTTACGGAACATCTGGAGGTCTCTTGGGAGATTTAACCAAGACAAAAAAAAAGATAGCAAACCTTACTGAGGTGTATGATAGATGCATGAACGCCTCATAACTAAGACGCGCAGCTATTTAACTATTGTTAAGTATTGTTTTCCACTAAGAGTGGTAATTAAGGAATTCACTCCACTGATGAAGGTATATTACGCTTTGTTACCTTCATGCTCACTAGATAGATAAACGCCTGGGTTGCGTTCTCTTCCTTATGTTTTCATACGCATCCGTTGGTTAGGAAATGACTAAGAGATTGAGTCAATTCGTTTCGGAAAAGTGAATGGCATTTGCAGTATCTACAGTACGTCCAGTATTTTACTGATAAATAAATTAGTATTTCGTATATCCACATATATATTGCATAGTCTCAATGGGAGCTATCCAGGAAATCGCTGAAATATACTTGGTTGTCCACCACGGGAAACGCATTTGGCAATTGAGCGACCCTCGACATATATTTTATTCAAAGAACGAAAACGGAACCTTTTATCAGGCCAGTGAAACAAAATAGTATTATCCCACTTAAGCTTCTCCCTGAAGCTATCGTAACTAACTGAAGATCCTTCAAAGACTGAATCGCAAAAAGACACGGAAGAGATAAACTAAATTGTAGTTCCTTCTCTCTAAAGATCGTCGTTCTCTCTGCGGTCACCTGGATCTTTGACCAGCGAACAACTAGCTTTGAAAGCGCTAACCTCACACAGGAGTTCCAAGTGACAACCAGAGAGTTGTTACGCATTTGGGCTTATGTGCAAGTTTACTCCTAAGATACAGGGAGTTACAGCTAATCGAATCGGTATGCGCTAACTAGAGGTATGCTACTATGTTGGCTTGACTCAGTCTATCCGATGTGTAGAATTGCATTTCGTGGCTACAATCAAACCGAAGTAATGCATAGTTATAGCTGCCATCTAGCGCACAGCTTGCATTCCTCAAGAGAACAGGTAAAAACACAGGAAAAAATGTTCGCCAAGCGCTTAGCTGCTGCTTGACGAGGCAAACCTAAGGATTTTCTGAGCATTCGCGACCCCTGCGGAGCCGCTTGCTCCTCTTTCTACTCAACTCAACGGCTGCAAAAGGTGACAGACAGGAACACGGAGAGAACCTCTCTAAGAATGTGCACAGGACTGTGCCCCTTCACACACATTCAGATTGCATGAGGTTGTACACAAGCCTTATTGGCGCCACCAGATGGCGTGTAAGAATTTCGTTCGCCGAGGCAAACTCAGTCATCGAACAAAGAAATGAGCCTTCGATGTTTAAACGCTATTTCGCAAGGACATTTTGAATTCGTGGAATGTCTGAAACAAGTTAGCCTCAAGCCTAGTTAGTCCTATGCAGAAGCCGGACAAGAATCTTTCTTAGTTCATTCGTCTTACCGCTGGTGCAAGTAAGCCCCGTCGCTATACAGCTACTCTATTTTTTAAATAATCTGTATCTGCTTAGTAATATATCTAAGTTGTATTTGCTTTAGTAAATAACTTGAACGCAATTGCTGAGCACACTGTATCTTTAACGAAAAAATTGTGTTCTATTCTCGAAGGAATATACATACTAGAACTCTACTGCTTTCATGCGACCGAAACGTTAGCTTTATGCAACGAAACTCGTTGACCTAAATAATCAGGTTTCTTCTACTTATTCTTTCTGATATACGAAGTCGTTCACGTAGCTCGACTAAGACATATGAACTTCTTTTTTGTCGATCTAAGCGGGACACTAATAAACACAAGCTTATTTTGTCTTGAAGTAACAGCATTTATTCATCTATATTGCTGACTTAAATAAGTTGTGCGGACATGACAATAACCTAGATAACGCCTAAAAAGTGAGCAAAATCCAGGCTTTTAAAAAACAAACCTTCAACAGAATTTATTGGCTATGATTAATCTACATGGACTCATAGTGGATGCCAGCGTATTTTACTTTTTCATTTTCCTACATAAAAATGTCGAATTGGTCTCGGCTGCTTTATGGCACTGCAAGACATTTCGATGACGTGCTCCATTGCGCCCATAGGCTACCATACAGATCCACTTCCTTCGATCTGATCGGTACCAAAGTGTTGTCGATGCAAAAAAAAAAGGTATCGGCCAACAAATTCGCGCATCTAAGGAAACTACATATATTAATAACAACGTAAGGATGAGTTGCTGTTGGAGTCGCAGAAGCTCACTCGTTGCTGTTAGTGAAATATTGACATTTAATAATACAACTCGACACTAGCAAAACAACTGATTTTGAAAACAATTAGCTTCTTAGCTCCTAAATTAGTTTTGGTAGGATAAAAAATACTGGCATTTCCCCAAACGTGTAGAACTTCTTGTTTTCGTTGGAAAAAAAATTGAATATTGCAACATTATTTGTTGATATTGGTCTCAAAGGATTTGTTTGCACCCTATACATTTCAGGAAAGAGATCACAGTGTCAGTGACGTACGAAAACAGTATAGCTCCATATATGCGTATAGTGCAAAAGCAGTTGGCTAACAATTGTCCCAAGTCAAACCATAAGGTAGCATTACTTTTTCTAGGCGATAAAAACAACATCACGTCAAACGTTTAACAGATCAGGTGAAGGATTTAAAGATTCCTCAGTGGCATAATAGTCCATTTTAAATATGATTAATTGACCATTCCATAAACAATTATAGGAATATTAGCATCTGTCATTTTTTATTGCCATATTTTACCCTAAAGTCGGTTGTAGATACATATGTTTAAAGATAAGTTGGATAATAAAACCTTTACTATATAGCACGATCAAAGTGGATGATTTTGTGTTACAGTACAAAGAAATGTTTTGGATACTTTTCTTCAGAGCAAACTACTATCTTTGAATATATCGTCTACCTACGTGTCCTACCTAAGTCAGGCATCTACCTAAGTGCTGTCACAATACCAACTAAAATGGTATCTCCTTAGCTTAACTGTGGTTTAAGGTCAACGTGCTAAACCTAAAATAGAGAAATAACAATATGGAAATAGCACTTGTTGCCTATAAAGGATACGTGTTAACGAAGCAAGACGCAATACTCCATTGGTTTTTTTTTGTATAGAATTTGTATAGAATGCAAACGCTTCACCTATTTTGCTTCAATTATGTTCTAAACGCAGCTCACGTTACCATCGCCCTTATCACTGTCGGCACAAGGAAGTCGGAGATATTATCCACTTACTTATCGAAATTTATTCGTGTTATGTTGTATCTATAAGACGTCTGTCTACGAAAGTACAAAACAATTTGGAATGAAATAATAGTCAAAAAACGTTTGTGACCGGACTTTCACTTCAGCTTCGAACACCGAGGTAAGCATTAGTTGTCCCTGATAATATTTATATCCAAGGTACTTTTTGTTCGTTGCACTGTGTTTCTCCTTGAAACAGTGACCTGTTGTACGTGTAAATCATCCTATAGGTCATTGTCTGTACTTAATGGAGGTTATTATATTATATTAAACTATGACGACGATTTCCATTGAGTGCCCTGTTGAAACGAAGCACAGCTAATGCAGTTCGGATGTACCAAATATTACATCTATGCCACCAAATGCCCAACGTTCTCAAATTATATCAAATACCTATAAAAACAACGTCTACACAAGCCGAAGAAGATTGTTCCATATATATATATATATATATATATATATATATATATATATATATATATATATATATACATTGCATGTATTCCTCAACCTCAAACTACACATTTTTGTTCTGATCAACCCGTAAAGAATCGTTTTTCCGATAAACCCAATTCGCATCAGTAATTACTATACACAACAATGGAGCTGTTTGATTACTAAGTTTCATCTGTTCTCACTCTGGCGGGTCCAACATATAGTCTAACTAATGTCACAAAATTTCTGAGATTAAGACAGCCAAACGAGAATTGTTCGTGCTAGCCTCATACCTCAAACATCAATCAAAACATCATCAGGCAAGGCTTCACGATGATTCACACTTATCTCTCTATTAGACAGTTCAACCATCGAGTTGCTCTCTGTTCGCTATTTATATGAATACTGTTGGTATTAAATCGAATATATAAATTCTTCTATTTTTTTTTCTTAGCAATACATGTATCCTGTATTTCATCACCTAGATGAAAATATTTTAAAAAAGTTTTCCTCACCCTGTTGAATAATGCGATTCATATAATGCATATTAAATAATAACAATAATAATCAAATAATAATAAACACATTTAACCATCTGGAGCTTCTTTATATCAGCTTCGTTCGGCTTTGCCAATTTATAAAGAAAAACATTTTCGTTCAATACAGCACAAATACATTTGGGTGTTTACGCAATCTACACTACAGGCCTGGTGCCAGCAATGGTCGTATAACAAGACGAGGAAGTCTGCATAAACTGACGCCAGCCAGCGAGCCTGTACTGTAAGCCGAAAAAAAAAAACATGGGATGAAGGAACGACAGCTCTTGATTGCACTGCCACAAAATGCTGAAAAAAGTATTATATCTTTTAAAATTGCACAGGCTATCATTTTTTGTCTTGCTGGGCCTGCCTGCTTAAAAATAACGCTTCGACGTTTATTCGACTTGCTCAACTAGTGCTAGTTAGAGTTACAATATAGTTTACATAAGCTCCATAATTCACATGCTCTGCCGTTCTCTTTCGGCTTTTTTGTCGATTCTACGAAATTTATATAGATACGTATATATATATGCTAGGCGTTTCGTATGCAGGGATAGATATTGAAACTGGTGTCCGTTTATGAGGCAAAGAAAGTATGAGGGCATAAAAAAGATTACACATTTGCTTATGCTTTTCACCAATAGCGCTTACTGGGATCAACCTTTGTCTTCTTCAATTTATTTTTATGCTGCAATTAGAATAAGACTCATGAGTAAACAAGGAAACAATGCATATCACATTATATTGAGCAATCGAAGACTGCACTGACCAGATGACTCACAAGAACAACGCAAAAAATCAATTGCGAATTCAAAAATGATACTGTGTCTAAGTCGCAAATTTCAACAATAAGTTACCTCACTCGAAATTACTTACCGATAATGCTCATCGTAGAAATTGTCGAAGCATGCTTCCCACAAACCGAGCCTGCGGAACTTTTTCCCAGTAAGATTTAGGCCATCCGAGACCAACCAATAAGGCGTACAAAATGAGATTGTGATAAACACTAACGCCACTAACGCACATGATGAGCCTAATAGCGAATATTGCGATTTAGCACTGTGATACTTCATTCTGTCTCGATCCTGTTTACAAAGAAGTATATCTAATTGTTTTTGATTATATGTTGCAAATTACGACGCACTGGAACGCGTCGAATAGGAAAAATCGTCACCCGTTTTCACCAATTTGCTTCGGACAGTTTCGAGTTGATTTACTTATCGTTACATACAGCTAAGCATTCCACAGCGTGGCATACACAAAATTTAAACCACACTCACGAGATACGAAAGATTTCTGCTTCACACCGATCCACAATATGTGCTTATTTCTGCATTTATGCGATAGAAATCGGTAGAAATATTCAGTTGTAGATGGTTTACTAAGCCGCTTATGCGCTATGCACTTGTTCTCCCGGGGCCCTCAAAGTACGAGCGACAGTCCAGTCACTGACGAACGAGTCAGTTGGATCGACTTCCTAAACTAAAATGACGTTCCACAGTGAACACCTGAATTCGTTTAGGGTTTTGGATGCGTCGGGATATCATTCAGATCACGCTAGACTGAGAGAAATCTGTTGGTTAGCTAAGGCGCTCGCACACTCCGAACAAACTGCTACTAAACAGACAGCCTACAATGATAGCAACAGAACAAAAATTGAAGTCTATGTACCGATCTGTGTGCGGACTTTACAGATCTGAATAGACTGCTGTAACGGATTGGCCAGATAATGCTACGATTACAGTTTGTCGACCGTTGCCAACGTTACGGGAGGGTGAGATCCAACGAAACCTGTTGAACGGCGCAATCCTGCCCAACTGACTAAACGGTTTTGCTGAAATGAAGTAACGCATTTCTACACTACCCAAGAAAAACACGAAAAACCCACTTAGTTTTCAAAGCCCTTATTCATTATTAGCCACTCGACAAATTTAGCGCGTTCGCGAGCTCGCGTAGAGAGACATTCGGACTCGAATGACGATCTTGTTTTCGCCACGCAGGTCTGCCCTCTCTACTTGGCCGTGCCACGGCTGTACCACAGGCGTGCCACACTGCTAGATACATGCCATTCGGTCGGTGGCATCCCTTCGGACTATCACTGTTTACTGATATTGCGGTGCTGCCACAGTCATTAGGAATAATGGGGCAGCCATAAAAAGAAGTGTTGTTGGCAAAAAAAATGTAAATCAGCAATTCGAACGATTGCGTTTAGCGGCACTCTACCAAGGCAATGGAACGATGAAGCGGCTTTATGTCTAACACAGCGAGCTCTTTGACACTAGCAGAGATAGTCATTGTTGCCTGAGCGGTCTACATGGCCACGTGACGTTTTGAGCGCGTACTGCTACAACGTTTTTTTTTTGACCGATTATAAATTATTTCAATCTTTCAGTTTTGTTCGAATAGTACAAACTTTTGGGAAGTACTGACATTGCTAACTAATTTTCCTTTCCGTGATATTCCGCTATCGTTTGCCTTTCGGCTAACGAGGGAAATACACATCAAGTCGATACATCGATAGATATATCTTCAAACTCTTGCATCGCACGTTGGATCGCTTAGCCTTCGAGCTTTGTTATAAACAACTTTTTTCATTATTACTACCGATATTGTGCATAAACTGCCTTTTTTACCATTATGCATATGACTCAACGATTGCCAGTAATACTTTACCTTACCGCATTCCACACACAGTATTGCCTTTGTATGTTAGTCTCCGCGTGAACATTTACCAAGCTGAAAATTTTTATTTTCAAGCTACGCGCCCTTAGCAGAAGAAACCTGCCAGATATTCGCAGCAAGTCTTTGGTTACCTATGACTATAACCTGATTGAGTCTCATCTGAAAATAACGATAAATCGATGACGTAAAGGGTTTGTAAAGTGGTAAAACCAAGGTTAGTGATATAACCTCTATCTCTTGAACAAACGATTAATGTTGAGATTCTTGAAGAAGTTGGACAAATAGCACAGCGATCGACATGATTACCTGACGACAATGTACAGTGTCACCTTAATCCCGAGCCAGATCGAGGAAAGCACGATCGAGCGATCCATGTTTATATCCTCTAGATAAGTTTTTCGGCTTCAAACGATAAAGTTCACTGTGCAAATAATAAAAATAAGTACATCTATACTATAGTAAAATGTGATTGTTGTGCATTATATAATTTAAAAGACGCTCAAAATTTCCGATTTGCTCTGTAACTCCTGGTAACCTAATAAACGGTATAGCAAGCGCAGAACAGTTTAAACAAGGAACTTGCCAAACTTCAAACTGATTAAATTAATCTGGAAAAGATAAAGAATTATCGGTGATCAACTTCACGACGTTTATATATGCGTATATGTATATATAGACTCACGAATTATAACGATCTCATTTGTTTGTATTGTGTTGTCGGGATAAATAACATACTTCATGGAAAGTATACCCTACTCGATTGTTGTTCCTATTCATATCCTCAATTATATAACGAGGGTTTCACTGGTACAGAGATTTAACAATCCCTATCGATCATTTCTGATTAATGTGCGTTTTTTTGCTTAATGCATGGCACTAACTCATCATCACAAATTATAATAATCCTGCTCTAAAGCGTTTACGCAATTCTGGCCCCACCAACTTTTTGTTATCGCATTTTTGTCATTGCCAATGTTTAATTTCAATGTGACTGGTTTCCTGTTAGCCTCTATGCGTCCGATTTTTTCTAGGCGGAGAGACGTCCTGTACATGAATGAATACCATCACGTGTGTGGAAAATGACTGTGGATGGAAAAAGTCTCCATTCACCAAACGCACAAGCTTTGAAGCTTTCTTTAATTCATCCTATCAGCGTTTGTCGCTCTGGCCTCATTCAAGTGCTGTGCTGCAGCCGCTATTAGAGCGTCGTTCCTCGGGACGTACCATACTGTGGTACGCAGTTTTAGCGGCGGGCGGAGCGATACATGTGAGCCGGTTCCCCGGGCAAAATGGCGCGGGTAGGTAGGCGACTGCTATTCGCTCGAAGTTTTAAAGCAGAGTGATGGCGGGTTCGGCGGCGGCGGCAGCGGTTACGGTGGCAGTGGTAGCACTCGTCATAGCAGTAGCAACAGCAGTGGCCGGCGAGATCGGTGCTCATAGTGGCGATCGGTGGAACTACATCGAAGACAGAAACAGAGAGACGTTGAGAAAACGACCGGTAGGGCCTACTGCAACGACGAAACTTGCTTCTTGTCAGTGAACAGTGTGCCCCTCAAGCGAGCAACTAATCCAGCAACAACTGCGGCCACAACAACTATAACGAAGCAATCCTAACAGTAACGGCCCTTGCTGGCGATCAGTTGCCCCACGGGCAGCTGCAGTAAACACAGCAGCCGAACGAAGAGAGGGAGAAAAAGCCAGGCAGACACGCATTTGCGCACGCAAATATCCACACCGAAACGTAACTGCAAGCAATAGTTTCCAATCGTAGTCTGCAACAGTTTGCCGGTTGGTGACAGCAACACTGCCGCCGAGTCTATTGCGAAGTGTGTGCTTGGGGGCATTCATCGTAGCATGTAAGCTGTGATGACGGGCGACGTAAAATGTGTTTTTGCTGGTAGCTCGAGCAGCAACAGCTCAAGTCGTTGCAGTAGAAACAGTGACAACGGCTGCGGCAGCCCTTGGTGACGGTGATTAGCGCAAGGCGGTTTTTCGCTGGTGGCTGTTTCGCCGCTGATTTCCGCTTCTGTCGTTGTCGCTGTTGTTGCCGTTGTTGTCGTTGTTGTCTAGAGTGTTCTGTGCCGTTGAGCTGCGTTAATTCGTTTTTGCGCCTCGGCCAAGAGCGCTGCGTCGAGTTTACCGTTGCCAACTGGTCAGCGGCGCCTGCAGAGGGCTAGCAATCGTCTGATCGTTGACCAACACACAACGCTGCATGTTCATGTAATAGTCAGCAAAGCGCATGTTAATGTGGATGAAGTTAATTGCTGGCACAACAATATATGGTCTCTCCTGCCTGCTGACCGTTAGCTGCGTGAGGGTACGTCGGTGTGGAGGAGTCAGTCGTGGGTCTTCTGTCGTTTTGTTGTTGTTGTTGTCATCGCTTGCTCGCTTGTTGACCGCTTGAGAAAAACGCCAAAAAAGCAGCAGAACTTATTGAACATAGGTTACGAGTGAATGTTGAAGGTTGTTCCCCACAGTATGATGGTGTGAAGGCCGTTGTGAGATATCATCGGTACTCAGCAGAGGAGAAAGGGCGAAAGAAGAGGTGCTGTTCAGTTATTCGTCGCTCACATTGGCCACCGTCGTTCCATCAGCTCGACGAACATCCGTAGAGATCGGGTAGCAACGAAAAGTAAGAAAATCGTTAAACGGTAAACAGTATAAACGATTTACACTACCGTTACGATTGCTGTCCCCGTGGCCAATTCTACTTCTACTGAACGTCTACTGAAATAAAGCTGTGTGGCTTTTGTGAGTACTTTTCATTTGCATTTTGCCTTCCTTCTACCCGTTGTGTACGGGTTCGTTGCCTTTATCATATGACTATCCCGCTACCGTAACTACTCCAACGAACATCCCCTTCAACCTCCACGGCTATTACTCGTTGGAAAAGCTTTATCGGCTACAACAGCATAGGCCGTTGCACTGCAGCCTCGCGCATTGCTGTTTATTAGTAAAGCAACAGCAAAAAGGAAAAAAACGACAACGACGGCTGTTTCGAACAAAACAAAAAGTACGGGACTGTTCTTTCCCAAGTTAGCAGTCTCGGCCAGTAGTGACAGAACGAGAAGGAATAGGAAGTTTCGTTTTTTAGAAGATTAAAGATTTAGCTGTTATTTTTCGGACTGGAGTCGGCACAACGTGACCTATCGAGTCGCTCAGCGGTATCAGGAGACCATCACCCGGCAGATACTGGACACGAACGAAGTGTAGTTTCGCGATTTGCTAAAACTACGAATTCAGCAAATCAAACAGCAACAATGACAAAGAAAAACGAATATCTCAACAGGCTATAAGAAAAAACAATTCTATTAGACTTGTTGAATTAATTGTAGAACAAGGGCTGAAGATTATATGATTCTCCAATAATATAGAAAACAACACCAATGGTAAATTGAAAGATCCATCTCTCATTAAAACCCAACGAAATTATCTAAGATAACAGTGAGAACCGTCTCGTTCGATAAATTCCACATTGCTTTGTTGTAAAAGACGAATCAACGACTGAACAGAACATATTATTTGATGCTCCTCGTCCATCACCATAATACAAAACGTAACTGCACAATGTAACCGGTCAATTACGGAAGGCAACAATAAGAATCAGCAGTATATTTACTTAAGAACATATATGCAAGTGCGTGTGTCTGGAAGGGAAAACAAACGAATGTTCTAATCGGTCTCTCATACCATCTGAGTGTCTAATTATACTTCAGCAAGTTGGCAACGAGAAACATAATTTCACTTAGGGTAACCGTACTCTTCAATATACATCAAAGCTGTGACAGCCAGCAGCAAACTAATATCCCCTAGACAACAGCAACGATGGGTTGTGCGGTGAGCAGCGTGGACAAACAAGCGGCGGAGCGTTCGAAAAAAATTGATAAAGACCTCAGAGAGGACGGTGAACGACAAGCGCGAGAAGTGAAATTGCTGCTTTTGGGTGAGTATTTTTTCTCTCTCTAACTTTTTCAAACTGTTCGAATAAATATGTACCACGTGTTATAGAAAGATCATTTTCTTTTTATTCGAAAGCACTTGGTACACAGTCGAGTATCCGTGCGTATATACATATATCCATGGGTAGAAATATACACATAATACCGAATATCATATTTTTTTACGAATATACGAAATGGTAACTATATATGTGAGGGACTGTGTTACCCCGTCCACGTTCCGACCTAATAGTTGCTGTAGAGAATACATAAATCACGGCTGACTTTTAGCAGTTTTTCCGTATATATTGAACCATCTCGAATCTGAGGTGTGAGTTTTACAGAGTCTATCTTTGAAAAGGCCTACAGTACAAGTTGAGCCTATTTCAACCCCAGGCCGAAACCCGCAAAGAGTGGACTTACATTGCGGAGTACATTTTTAATGTTTTTCTCCATTAGTTTCTGATTGTCCGGTTTGTTGCATCAAACGATGATATGCACCTACGATGCGTGTGCTCCTGGTAAACATAGACACATGCAACACACGTGCTATTTTGACAAGACGCTTGCGGCCACCGTTACTACCATGCAAGTGTTGTTCCATGCGTGAGAATTTGCACACAGTTGCGGTAATCTGCCATTACCGTATTTAGTGGGATCAGAAATCAAAAGATATTACCAAAAATTGCTTTTACTTTTAATGTAAATTAACTCCACGCCGGAATTTGGCTGTTGTAATCTACAGAGCGCGCTACCGAGGCTGGCTTAATGCAGTTCGGCAATATTAACGGTAACCGATATCCGACGGTCCTCAGCGAACTAGAGGTTAACTAGTCTGCGTCCGCCGTGTCTGATTCTTGTGTTAAATCAAGGGCGACGCGCTAACCTAATCGATTACCGGGCACGCCGAATTATAAAACAGAATAAATTGTTATATTAAGTATATGCCCAGAGAGAAGTGTGCCTGTATTGAAGTAAAATAATTGAAACAGTCGCAAATTAAAACACAAGTAAGTGACACTTCATCCCTCCATTTTCAAGCATTTATATCGTAAACCATGTATGTCACATACTATTCCGTTTCTTTCCATTTTCTACCGTAATTAAGTAACTTGTATTCTCATTGTATCTACTCTTTCATAGACATACATAGTTATAATGACAAATTACAATTTTAGTAGCTATCGTAATTTTGATGATTTTCGGTTAGGCTTTGCTACAGAAATCCTAGTTGACAACTTCTCATGAGATGCACAGGCAAATCGTGAGAGGGAGGAGAGGAGAACGCGCAGTAAATGAAAATAAACCTAACGGAGGCTGACGACAGCTAGAGATAACGCCCAGATGTCACGTTACTTGGCTGTTATGGGCATTGATAATGTTGTTGTTGAGGGTAATAGCCGTAGAACGAGCAATGTATGCCGCCTGTTCGCCCACTAACCTGTTCAGTCCTGGCTGCCCCATGCGACCGCGACGATAGCGGTGGCGACCACATGTTGAGGCTAAATAGGTTTGCAACAAGAGATACTATATGGTTTGTGTTGTCGAAGTGGGTGACATATGCTTACAGTGCCTGCTGATCTTCTCATTTTGCCAACCATATCATTAGCGAAATTTCTCGTCGATTAAATAATATGTTCCAGCCCATTGTCATACACATATGTAAATACCAATAGTGTGATAGCAGCAATAGCACCAAATGCAGTCGCACATGAAACGATTCTACGTCACACTCGTAAACAAGGGTGAACATTGAATGTCGACGTCACACTACGCGTTTACGATGATCGCGATATGGTACGAAGACCACGAATTTTGATCACTAACATTAGGTTGCATAAAGTGTGTCTTGAGATGAATTTATCCTACCCTCCTCTTTAGGGGCCGAGCGGACGGAAGAGCGAGGCATTGTGAACGATAGTAGGGTATGCGCGACAAATAGTTTTTGAGTCGGCAGGAGTCTAATGGTACCGCTCGCTTAAAATGATTAAGGATCGGTGAGCAACCCCAGCCATTGGAGGGCGTGCGGATATGTGACAGTACCAGTAAAAACAGTATTGAAGAGGATAAAACTGGTACCTATTTAAGAAGTATTTAATGAACAGCGTGCAACAGAATTGCATTTAGCTCTATAAGTTAACGACTGATCAAGCAGGTCTTCTAAAATCGACACAGGCTACATACAATATTATTTTTTGTCGAGGTGATATAGAACAACTGAACTTTGCTGAAGTCCAGGACAGATTAACACAGATAGAAAATCTGTAATTTTAGGTTTACGCCAGCTGGCGTTCTTTATGGTATTAGGCTATGAGCCGATATATTCCAATAGAACGACTAGCGACATCAGCTCGAATTAAAATTCATACAACATGAATAATAACTGTATAAGTGGATGTGCCGTCATAAAACTAACGAAGTGCCGGTAAAAGTGGGCCGGCGAAGCTCACAGTTGATACGGTAATGTCTAGTAACATTAGGGAAAGGGCTACGTTGAACAGTTTATAGTAGAAAATGAATAATCAGTATAGTATGCACACCGCTGTTACGCAATCCAATCGATGATTTTTTTTTTATCACTGGCTCCTTAGTGTTGGTTTTAGTGAAAAAAAACTGATGCTGATGCTCATAACAGTATTGCTACCCAGATTGTTTTTGTGAAAAAAATTCTATTACCGTTTCAGCGGAATACAGTGGAAGTACAGATATCTAGGTTATTTTATATCTGCTCGCCATTTTGGCAAATACGCTACAAAAGCGGACCGTTTAAATCTAGAAACGTACATGCATACTGAATCATTGTCGTTTAAAGTCTGAAATAAGAATGTATAGCAATAGAGGCACAGTGCATAACCTAAAATCCAGCAGAATGTTTTTTGCTCCATCTCGGCCGTAACGTGAGCATTATTTTCTATTTTTGCGCGAATTTTTTTTCAATTATTGCAACTTTTTATCAGCGTTTACGTTACTTAGTATGTTTTCGTATTTTTCTGCATTGCTACTAAGGCAAATTTCTAAAAAAATCTAGAAATTGAGGTTTCGTTAGAGCATGTAATAATATCGACGAGCTGATAATCATCATTTGGTATACCGTTTTGGGGGAAAATGCTTTTAAAATTTTTTTATGCTTAGTTCTCAGTCTACAGAAATCACACCGAAAAACAAGAAAAAAGTTTCTGCACGTTTGGTAGTCACAGTTTAAGCAAAACATTCTCGCTCTTCATCATTTGTTCAACTCTGCGCCTATTTATACGTTGACGTTGGTTTCCACTACATTTATGTGGTCAGGGTGACTTAGCGATTTTGTTCTTGTTAATGCTGTTTAGGAGGCATTGAGCAGAGATGGACATAAATACTGAAGTGATTACGTTGAAAAGGCCATTGGTTATGCTCACTCGTACGAAAGAATGAAAGGAAAAAATACGCGTGTAGCGGTTTCCTTTTGTTTTTTTAACGAGTAGCAGCGTTCAGATAATGTTCCTATCAGTTGTTCGCATTGCGCTTTATTCATTACGCTTCATTCGTTGTCCGTCTCCACGCACTATGGTTCTTAAAAACGAAAGTCTCTCAGTTTTTTTTTCAGCTAGTGGGTCATGTGAACCGCTTAGTTTGCTGGCTAGTACCGCAGCAAAACGGCAGCCATGACAGAAATGTACTAGTGCATAGGGCGATGATGTTGGAGGAATTTGCCCGCGCCTAAAACGCTGGGTGGGCAGAACTTGGGAGGCCATTTAGACCGAGTTCGCTGCTAATCACTGAATCTTTTTTACTGGCCATACTTTCTCTGTAGGTGGCGCCATTCTTCAGACGAGTAACCGAAGACATGACTGCGCTGAAGGCACCACCAATAAAATTACTCTTCGCTTTACGTTAAATCCCTTCAACACGTTCCGCATAAGCAGTCATTATTATATGATTCACCTGATGCCGTATCGCTTTCTTTTTCACGCAGCCATTCAATTACTCGCACGCAGTATGTTTAGCGGTTCGGCATTGGCTTGCCACAAGTATAGGCTTAATAATAAAAAGAAAGAGGATCAACTAAATCAGTTGTCTACCTTTAGTCTACCTCGAAGACCTATTTCCACACTCCATTAGTCTCTACGGCGTTTACCGTCCTGGAAATTTTAGAATTACCGTACGGACAAAGAAATAAACTGAATATTGTAACTAGTAGACATTCTGAAATCCTTGAAGACACATATGAATTAATCATTGTATTGTGAAATAGATAGTGAATAAAGTAATGCTAGTTTGCTCATACTACAGCCTCTACCGTCGGGAACTTAAAATAAAAAATACGAAAAATATATGTAAACTATACAAATGAATTACTAACAGAGTTACACAGGTTAAAATAAAACATTTATTGGCATGATAGAGTATTTCTAAAAGCGGGTTTTTAGAATCGAAACTTGCTAAGACTACTCATGTAGAAATAAAAGAGCTGACGGCAGAAACCTTGTCCACGTCTGTATTAGGGAGATACGATTTCTGTACCAAATACGGGAACATCTATATATTTGTAAAAAAAGTGACCAAAAATATAGTAAGGGCTGTAACAACGAAAATGGAACGCTGGATTTATTCATATATTGTAGATTTATTTTCCAAATTTAAAAAAATATTACATTATCAAGCATGTAAGTTTTTTTTACAAAAATTATAGCAACTTCCTTTAAAAAAAAGTTAAATAAGCCATAGCCCATTAGATTACAAGTGATTCTGAGACCATGAGAGAATTTGAAGTGTCCTACGGGAAAACCTTAGCCTTGCCGATAACAGACGCTCTGTAGGATAAACATCTGTTGGCCAGTGTACATATAGAGCATTTTCGTCAGGGTTCTAAAGCTCTTGCTAATTTTGGCGTTTATTTATACTTTCTTAAAATCTAAATCCGGATGAATTTGGGAATATGAAATTTTATACTCTAATTCCTATTATCTTAAAGCAAGACCTGACCGAGCAGGACTCGAGACAATAATACTAACAATAATAACTAGAA